AAACAAATGTATTAGATTTCGGTGAGCCGAATATTGTTCATATTCTGGTTTAATTCTGTACATCATACACATAGAAGCTTTATCCCATCGTAGGTATCGTTATGATTTCAAACAGGATTGGTATCGTGTTAGCATCGTGCTAACATTGTTGTTTTTTTGTTTCTGTGAACTATTTAATGAACTTAGAGTAAGTACAACCGAGGTAAAAGTGTTTATTTAGTTATAACCAATAAAAGTTAATAGCTAATGACCTAGATGTCGAAGAATAATAATTTTATAAATAAAAGAAAAAGGTTAGATTTCATTAAAATTTTCTATTTAACTTAAAATAAATTTTTGATTGTAAAAAAAGGTATTTTATAAAAATTAAACAAATAAGTACTTATTATAATATTTTTTTTATAACTGTTAAAATAAAGTTTTATCATAAAAAATGACCCTTTTCCGCATTTTTTGTCTATTTTATAAAAGAATGAAAAAAAATGTATAAATGTTTTCTATATATTTATATAATATATAACACGGTAAGTCTCGTGCAAACGTACGCTAACATAATGCGGTACTGCAGACTTTGACCGGTAATCATACTTACAAATAGATGTTTACAATTTAATTTTTTTTGGTATTTTGATTTTACATTATATTGATAAGAGGTAGTTTTAAAACAATCTATTATCATATGAACAAGTGGCTCCTAATTTAAGTTAAATGTTAGCGAAACGCTAACATCAATACCAACGACGGGTTTATAGAGGAGGATGACATAATTACAAAACCTTAATTGTTTTATGTAGTTTAAAAAAATGGTAATAAAATCGCCTTACTCATAAGTATTGTCGCCTACATTCTTTACCAAATACTCCTTTGTTGTAGAAACTCCATTGTTTATGAACTGTACATCTAACGGTTGAGGTTCAATGACATCCGTTTCAACGTTTTCATGTTTAATTTTCAACATATTATACCGCTTCAAAACTCTATAATTGAAATTTAACATTAGTTGAATTTCTGTATCAAATATGCATGCATGGTTTAATAAGACGACTTAATTACACAATTTTAACTATTTATTTTAGTAACAAATAGAGTAATATAATATTATAAAAAAGCAGACAGCTAATGTCCTAAGTTTCCGAAGCATTGACCGAAAAATAAAAACCGACAAAATTTAAGTGGTATACTTTGTTTTTTTTAAGCATTTAAAACTAAATTTTAATTTACTTAAATTAGATGAATAACACAAAACTACAACTATGACTTGTAGGTAAGAAGTTAAGACGATACGATTTGCCATTTTGCAGACTAGATTAATTTAAAGTGGCGTTGATCCCGTATAACTCGACTCAACACAAACCGGTGTACAAAGCATAGTACCTATATTTTAGGATATATTAGATTTTATACTTCAATAGCTAAATAAGTGAAAGGTTTTTTTTTAATATTAATAAATAAATTAGATGTACATGATCAGTTTCCAACAGTTATAATATATTTTGGTTTTAAACAGTGTTTCATTCACTAGTTCGTCAGTTTCGTGTTTATTGTTGGGTACGTTATTATGCTCATCAACTCAGTAATTAACAAAGCCCAAATTATTATTTTCCTGTACGTTCAGACTTTTATCTATAAACAGATCAATAACTTTGCCTGTTTTGTAAGCATAAAAGGTCTATTAGCTAAAAGGAGAGTCAATATATATAAATACGCTTTAAATTTTTGATTTCTTTATAACTCACTATTATAAAATAAACAGTTTCATTTTTATAGAGATAAAAATAAAAATCACTGATGTATTATATATATAACTTATAAAATAGTATTTACCAAACAATTATTTTTAAAAGAGTATATATTTTATTGAAAAATTTGACTGATCGATAACAAGTTTTAAATAAAGTCTAATGTTTTATATAATATAAACCTTAATCATTTATAATACTTCAAAAAAAGCTAAGTATAGAACAAGGTAAAGATAAGTGGATTAAGTTACTCAAGAAAAGTTAATATTTCTCTTTACTTCTTATAGCGCCAAAGATAATTGTTTAAATAATACCATTAATACTATTTTGAAAATGAATTAGGACATCATTAATTACATTTATTGTTAAAATTACAGAGGACGACATAACAACAAAAGCTAAATAGTTTTATTAAGGATAAAAAAAATGGTTATAAAAATCGCCTTACTTATAAGTATTGTCGACTTCATTCTTTACCAAATACTCTTCTATTGTAGAAATTTCATTCTTTATGAACTGTACATCTAACGGTTTAGGTTCAAACGAATTTTCAAAAAAATGTTCTTTTGTTTCATCATTTTCTTCTTTAATTTTCAACATATTGTACAGCTTCCAAACTATATAATTGACATTTAACATTAGTTGACAGTTATATTTCTGTGCCATATATTCATTGAGGTTTAATAGGACGACTTAATTACATAATTTTAACTATTTTGTTTAGTCATAATAATGATATGATAAAGAAAAATTTAGTTTACATGGTTTGAAAAATAAAAATCCAACAAAGTTTTGAGTGGTATATTTTGTATTTTATAAACATTTAAAACTAAATTTTAATTCAATAAAATTAGACGAATGACGCAATGTTACAAGTATGACTTGTAGGTAAGAAGTTTTGACAATAAAGATTAAAGCTAGACGATAGCCCACTTGACCGAATAGATTAATTTAAAGTGGCGTTGATCCCATGTCATTCAACCAGATTCCAAGTAAATAATAAGTAATTAACAAACACACATAGATTATGATTCTATTTATTAACATTTATTTCCAAAATCAATGGAAACACGGCAATAATGTAAATAATATAGAAATACAAAGCTGTAGGTACTCACACACACAGAAGAACCGTAAACCGCTGCCCAGGGCAGCTACTAAAACCTTATAATAAATTATTAACAGGCAAGACAAAACTCGATTGTAACGCAAATCGAAACCAAATAACGAAACACGACCCAACACGTTAGGTATTTATCACAGAAATCGACAAAGATATTATGATTAAAATCTAAAGATTCTCACGAATCGGACCCGTAGCAACAATGCTGAAAACAAATTGTTACTATAGCGCTAAATCTAATTTAACTAGTAATAATTCACAGAAATTCAGTGTAGGTACAAAAGGAAATCTCAATTATTAACAAAAAGTCAAAACAAAACTTGAATTTAATGATAATTGTGATTTTAACGCAAACTGCGCAACAAAAGAAATTTTTCTAGACAGATTTGTGATAGTGTATGTGTGATAACGAGTGATTGCCACAGGTTGAGGTACACCATAGCGCGGAGGTAAACTGTCGCGCGTTTTAGGAGGCAAACTGTTCAAATTCTCAACTCCGGTTTAAAAGCTTGTTGTAAACTTACCTTCATCGACGTCCTATAAAATGTATCAATGCGTTTACCTAAGTCTATCGGTTTTGGAAACACCTTTCGCTGATTCTGTTAGAATACAAAGGCCCACGCTTGTAAAATTAATATTTAATACAATAATAACAAAAAAAAAATAGGTGTAAAAGAAAGCCAGTACAGTTGGCTTAGGACATAGTGGCGACGGTAAGATCACAGGTCTACGAGAATTATTAAATACAAATATCGATAAAAGCATTGCACCTATTGACAATTATGCTCTTTATCTGGAAACCTCGGTCAAAGCTAAGATTTCCTCTTTTTTTTTTGGAGTTTTTCCTTGATAGAAAAAAGTTTCACTGTAGATTTTTGAGTAAATTGTATATGTTATAGTTTCGTTCTAGATCTTCCTCCGGTCTAATTTTCAAACTTAAATCCCTAAAACTTTGCTTGAAAAAGAGAAAAAAAGAAGAAATGTCTATCTCTTTTAGTGGAAAGGGTTTATGATATGTTTTGGTTATGTCAGTATTTATCGGTATAGTAGGTACTATGTTTAAAGAATATTCTAAATTTGTGAATAAATATTAAGATGTTCTAGCTACACAACTATTAAAGTTTCATGTATTCATATTTTTATTTTGTGGCCTCACTATACACATAGTTTTGTACAACTTTGAACATTCCTTCTATCCCAAATTGCACATCATTTTAACTTTTGCAATTAGTATTTTGCTGAATTATATTTTTTACACTTGCAATAATTGGTAAATTAAGGGCACCTAAAAATGTCTGCATCAGGTCATGAATAATTTTACTATTTTATTTTTATATTTATTTAAACCATTTTGAAAACAATATATGGTTTTATTATTGTTATTACTTTTCCAAAAAATTGTATATATAGTTTCTTACACGAAAACACACTTTAAGTGTTATTCATTGAAATAAGAAGAAAACATATTATTTTGATGTGATGTTTTGTAGGCTTGTTCAAACAGTTACCTGATAGTCATACACCATTTGCACTAAATGGAATATACCTATAATATTTTTTTTTATTCTATCTAGAACGATTTTTTTCCAACGTGTGTAGAACTCTTCACCGCAGAGACCCAAATTTAGGTTTCCAATTGAAGTATTGGGTGCAAAAACACAATTATTTATCATTGTTTTTGGCGTTTTATTTTTCTCGGATTCGTATCGAAGTGAACAACATATGAGTAATAGCCCACACAAAAACACTTTTTTAAATCAATACACAGCCACAATAACAATTTTACAAACTTGGAATTTAGCTCACGATAACGTGTTGAAAAATAATATGAAATCAAAGTACTTTTCAAATTAAACTATGTAGGGTTAATTTTCGTACACTGAATTGTTCTTACATAAACTTTATTTAAGCCAACCCAATACCAATGTGATTGTGACCAGCCAGAATATGTTTTTCCACAACTCTCGCTCTCTCACTACATATACAATATATTATATATACCTGGACTCACTAGAAACCATGCTAATACATTGTAAAATAAAATTAAACGAAATAAAATTAGCTCGCGCCACACTGTGTCCTTAAATGAAACTCCCATTCCCCGATGCTCTCAAATAAAATATTTAGGCTTAATATTGAACAAGATCCTAACCGGTCACCACATTTAAAAGAAAAACGCAAAGCACTCAACTATCGACTAGATATGCTTCGACCTCTTTTACACTCAAAAATATCAATAACAAACAAGCCCCTTTTTTACACTACCCTTTTGAACCCAATATGAACTTATGATATTATTATCTGGTGATCAGCAAAACCTTCAAACACCAAAACAATTCGGACGACTTAAAAGAAACTAGCCCAGAAGCCAGAACTGGCTCATGAACTTCTAAAATTAATGTTTTTTTTTTTTAAATAGTATTTGGCGTCTCAACTTTGAGATTACTTATTCATGTTATTCACTGACTGTTTTGCATATTTTTATTTCTCTAAATAGTTAACTAATTTACTTTAGTTAAGTTTTTAATGGGCCAATGGAAATGGAGATGTTTCTATCGCTTGCTTACAAGCATTAAACGTTTAATTTTTAACTTGGCAAAAAAAATAATAACTTTTAGTTATTTCAGAAACTAGCACAGTTTATTAAGTGATTGATGAAAGAAGTATTTTTTTAGTATTCTTAAATAGTAACTGATAGGCCGAAAGGGTTTGATGAAGATCAAAACACACTTTATAAAATATAACAGGCGTAGCTAGTATTGAATTCAGAAAAGCGGTTTACAGCAGTTTTTTGGAGAAGTTCCTTAAATATAAAAAAACCAGTACTGTGAGGTCGGGGCATAGTGGGGATGGGGAGGTCACAGGTTTACAGGAATTTTTAAATCTGAAAGTGATACAATCACTTTTGAAAAAACGCTTCGATGCAAATCGGTAGTTAGTATTTTCAAGCCAGTACAGTCCAAACCAGCAAAGTTAGGAAATATTAAATTGAGGTGCTGTATTTACAAATAAGCATCAAAGCGTCAGTTTGAAAAAGATTTTATACAAGACGACTAGTACAGTAGAGTAAAGGCATAATGGAATCAAAGCATAGAGGGGACTGAGAGGTCACAGATCTACAGGAACCATTACAAATAAAAGTAATAAAATCACTTTTAAATAAACGTATTGATGCTTATTTTGTAAACACAACACCTCAATTTAATACTTTTTAACTTTGCTGGTTTACACTGTGTTGGCTTTTAAAATACAACTTGGAATTGTTATATTTTGGTTTTGTTGCTTTGATTTTTATGGACTACATTAATGTTATTAATGACTACAGCACAGAAAATAATAACCGGGTCCTACTAATTTTAAATCACTGCTTGAGGAAATACATATTTCCTAAACCAGTAAACATTTTGTTTGTAATTATTTGTTTATTATTTCAAGGTGGTTAATAAAAAGTGGTAGTATTATGTTATAGTAAGTACTAAACATATTTTTTTTTTGTAGCTAACATGCATAGCTTTTGTAAGTAGTATATGCGTTTTATCATGTTTTTTGTTTCGTTATATTTTATTCTTGAACTGCGTAGATAATAGTAATACGTTAAAAAAACATAAATACTAAAAAATACCTTAACATACGTGGGTTATTGTAAATTTTGTCAACTTCTATATTATTATGACCCGCAATAGCATTACAAGAAAAACATGACTAAACTTTTTATAGATAATATCTTTATTATGTTACTATCGAAAATTATAGGCTTTAAATGTTTAGATAATAGCGGATACACTAACTGACGTTTGAAATAATTAAATAGTTCCAATTACTGTGATCTTTAATGGATTATAATATAATTAATAGTACAAAATGTTTACTGACTCAAGGTCAAAGTTTTAACTAACAGACAATTACAAATATTTAAAAGTCCATGTAATGGATAGAACGAACTGTTAAAAGATTATTGTATAAAGCCACCTGACAACGAATTTCAAATAATCATATTTTATCTTCGCATACAATGTATGAATTTAGAAAATCCACTTGCACAATATTTTCTATTGAGTATAGTTAGTAAATAAGCAAAATTAATTATATGTTAACATTTGTGAATTTGTTGTAAAAAATAAATTAAAACAATTGACTCGACTTAACGCATCTCCATAGGCATTTTACAATAAAGAAATAAAACAAAATAAAGGAATCAGAAGTAAAAGCAAATAGTTTGAATAATTTTTCACTGAATAATAAAATACAACTTTACTTATTCAGTGAATATTATTTTTATTGGGAGAAAGGTATTTGTAATGAACATAATATATAATTGATAGGTAACAAATTGTGTCATTTGGAATATATTGTTATTAGAAAAATCTGAAGATGCAAACACAATTATGATAAACAAATAAAGATGAAAATTGTATAATAATCATCTAAATATACACAAAGTATGCAAAATTGTTTTCAGAATGTGAAACGGATCTTAGTGCATAATTATAAAATAGACTTATATTATTAAACATTATGTTAAAATAACACGGCAACATAAAAAATGTAATTATTTTGGCCATTTTGGCGTCTTAAATAATTAACTTAACATTACTCATAATATGTTATTCATTTTGATAGAACACTTAAATAAATAAGTTACTAAAAAAAAGGTATAGGTTGTTACTAAACTGTTCTAGAACTAAAGTATGTTCTAGAACCAAAGACAATATTTTTTTATTATTTTTATACGTTTTTTATTTGTAACAATAGTACACAAAATGTACTTTTTTGGCCAAACATTTTCACGAATAACGAACACATATACTGCATACAGAATAATAATACATTAATAATGAACAATGTACACTCCCTTCCCCAACCAAATGAGACAAATAATTTTGTGCAACACTTATCTTTGTATATAATAGGTAAGCAATTGTATTGTTTCTCTAGTATAGTATTCACTCTCCTTGGTGATTTACTTTTATTTGATTTTTTTAAACCGAAAATTTATATTTCAACAATATGAATGTTAAAAGCGTATTTCTGATAATAACAGCCGTGTTATGTATTACCATATCTATGTCTAAAGGTAGGTACATAAAAAATAATAAGTATACAAATGTAACAATAATGAGGTTATGTTAAAATAAAATGCTTTTCCATATGAGTAAAATATTTTTAGTATGACATCTGATGATTTTTTTAGAAAAATAAATTCATAACTATATATACTTATTAAGATATATATATATTATACAAATCTATTTTTAATAATCAAGTGTTAATGGAATATTTTAAAATAAAATTGTTCTTATTTATTCGATGGTCTGATTTCAATGACTGATATAACTTTTTTTTTTCGAT